TGCACAAACGTTAGAAAACATACATTTTTTCATATTTTTTAGACTTTTTGGGTATTAATAAACATTGTAGTTTATAAAAGTGAAAAAAAATTGGTTAGAAATGAGAAAACCAAGAACAGACCAAGAACAGTTGTTGCACAAACGTTAGAAAACATACATTTTTTTATATTTTTTAGACTTTTTGGGTATTAATAAACATTGTAGTTTATAAAAGTGAAAAAAAATTGGTTAGAAATGAGAAAACCTAGAACAGACCAAGAACAAACCAAGAGTCTGTTCTTGGTTTTCTCATTACTAACCAATTTTTTTTCACTTTTATAAACTACAATGTTTATTAATAGCCAAAAAGTCTAAAAAAAATAAAAAATTGTATGTTCTCTAATTTTTTACAAGAGTATGTTCTTGATCTGTTCTTGGTCTGTTCTTAGTTCTCTCATTTCTAACTAATTTTTTTTTTCACTTTTATAAACTACAATGTTTACTAATACCTAAAAAGTCTAAAAAATATGAAAAATTGTATGTTCTCTAATTTTTTACAAGAGTCTGTTCTTGGTCTGTTCTAGGTTTTCTCATTTCTAACCAATTTTTGTTTCACTTTTATAAACTACAATGTTTATTAATAGCTAAAAAGTCTAAAAAATATGAAAAATTGTATGTTCTCTAATTTTTTACAAGAGTCTGTTCTTGGTCTGTTCTAGGTTTTCTCATTTCTAACCAATTTTTGTTTCACTTTTATAAACTACAATGTTTATTAATAGCTAAAAAGTCTAAAAAATATGAAAAATTGTATGTTCTCTAATTTTTTACAAGAGTCTGTTCTTGGTCTGTTCTAGGTTTTCTCATTTCTAACCAATTTTTGTTTCACTTTTATAAACTACAATGTTTATTAATAGCTAAAAAGTCTAAAAAATATGAAAAATTGTATGTTCTCTAATTTTTTACAAGAGTCTGTTCTTGGTCTGTTCTAGGTTTTCTCATTTCTAACCAATTTTTGTTTCACTTTTATAAACTACAATGTTTATTAATAGCTAAAAAGTCTAAAAAATATGAAAAATTGTATGTTCTCTAATTTTTTACAAGAGTCTGTTCTTGGTCTGTTCTAGGTTTTCTCATTTCTAACCAATTTTTGTTTCACTTTTATAAACTACAATGTTTATTAATAGCTAAAAAGTCTAAAAAATATGAAAAATTGTATGTTCTCTAATTTTTTACAAGAGTCTGTTCTTGGTCTGTTCTAGGTTTTCTCATTTCTAACCAATTTTTGTTTCACTTTTATAAACTACAATGTTTATTAATAGCTAAAAAGTCTAAAAAATATGAAAAATTGTATGTTCTCTAATTTTTTACAAGAGTCTGTTCTTGGTCTGTTCTAGGTTTTCTCATTTCTAACCAATTTTTGTTTCACTTTTATAAACTACAATGTTTATTAATAGCTAAAAAGTCTAAAAAATATGAAAAATTGTATGTTCTCTAATTTTTTACAAGAGTCTGTTCTTGGTCTGTTCTAGGTTTTCTCATTTCTAACCAATTTTTGTTTCACTTTTATAAACTACAATGTTTATTAATAGCTAAAAAGTCTAAAAAATATGAAAAATTGTATGTTCTCTAATTTTTTACAAGAGTCTGTTCTTGGTCTGTTCTAGGTTTTCTCATTTCTAACCAATTTTTGTTTCACTTTTATAAACTACAATGTTTATTAATAGCTAAAAAGTCTAAAAAATATGAAAAATTGTATGTTCTCTAATTTTTTACAAGAGTCTGTTCTTGGTCTGTTCTAGGTTTTCTCATTTCTAACCAATTTTTGTTTCACTTTTATAAACTACAATGTTTATTAATAGCTAAAAAGTCTAAAAAATATGAAAAATTGTATGTTCTCTAATTTTTTACAAGAGTCTGTTCTTGGTCTGTTCTAGGTTTTCTCATTTCTAACCAATTTTTGTTTCACTTTTATAAACTACAATGTTTATTAATAGCTAAAAAGTCTAAAAAATATGAAAAATTGTATGTTCTCTAATTTTTTACAAGAGTCTGTTCTTGGTCTGTTCTAGGTTTTCTCATTTCTAACCAATTTTTGTTTCACTTTTATAAACTACAATGTTTATTAATAGCTAAAAAGTCTAAAAAATATGAAAAATTGTATGTTCTCTAATTTTTTACAAGAGTCTGTTCTTGGTCTGTTCTAGGTTTTCTCATTTCTAACCAATTTTTGTTTCACTTTTATAAACTACAATGTTTATTAATAGCTAAAAAGTCTAAAAAATATGAAAAATTGTATGTTCTCTAATTTTTTACAAGAGTCTGTTCTTGGTCTGTTCTAGGTTTTCTCATTTCTAACCAATTTTTGTTTCACTTTTATAAACTACAATGTTTATTAATAGCTAAAAAGTCTAAAAAATATGAAAAATTGTATGTTCTCTAATTTTTTACAAGAGTCTGTTCTTGGTCTGTTCTAGGTTTTCTCATTTCTAACCAATTTTTGTTTCACTTTTATAAACTACAATGTTTATTAATAGCTAAAAAGTCTAAAAAATATGAAAAATTGTATGTTCTCTAATTTTTTACAAGAGTCTGTTCTTGGTCTGTTCTAGGTTTTCTCATTTCTAACCAATTTTTGTTTCACTTTTATAAACTACAATGTTTATTAATAGCTAAAAAGTCTAAAAAATATGAAAAATTGTATGTTCTCTAATTTTTTACAAGAGTCTGTTCTTGGTCTGTTCTAGGTTTTCTCATTTCTAACCAATTTTTGTTTCACTTTTATAAACTACAATGTTTATTAATAGCTAAAAAGTCTAAAAAATATGAAAAATTGTATGTTCTCTAATTTTTTACAAGAGTCTGTTCTTGGTCTGTTCTAGGTTTTCTCATTTCTAACCAATTTTTGTTTCACTTTTATAAACTACAATGTTTATTAATAGCTAAAAAGTCTAAAAAATATGAAAAATTGTATGTTCTCTAATTTTTTACAAGAGTCTGTTCTTGGTCTGTTCTAGGTTTTCTCATTTCTAACCAATTTTTGTTTCACTTTTATAAACTACAATGTTTATTAATAGCTAAAAAGTCTAAAAAATATGAAAAATTGTATGTTCTCTAATTTTTTACAAGAGTCTGTTCTTGGTCTGTTCTAGGTTTTCTCATTTCTAACCAATTTTTGTTTCACTTTTATAAACTACAATGTTTATTAATAGCTAAAAAGTCTAAAAAATATGAAAAATTGTATGTTATCTAATTTTTTACAAGAGTCTGCTCTTTGTC